CTTGGATTGGCAAATTAACTTCTCCTACTACTTCTCGCTTGGATCCATCGAAGGCTCGAATGATAGTGCTGCTTAGGCGCAGACGGGTTCCTTGTATAGTCAACTTGTCCAGTGTGCACTTGGGCATCACGTTTAAGGATGACCCGTTATCCACAAGAACTTTGACGATGAGGTACTCCTTGCACTTGATTGAAATGTGCAAGGGCTTGTTGTGGTTTGATCCCTCGAGGGGGAGTTCTTCCTCTGTGAAGGTGAGGTGATCGCTTGCCATAATGTGACCGACGATCCTCTCAACATTTTCTTGGGATATGGTGTGAGGTACATGCGCCTCGCTCAAGACCTTCATCAGGGCGTTTCTGTGTGGTTCCGAGCTCATCATTAGAGATAGTAGGGTTATCTTTGCAGGAGTATGATTGAGCTAGTCTATAATGGAATACTCGCTTTGCCTTATAAACTGGAGTAATTCCTTTGTCTCCTCCTTGGATTCTTTATTTTCTTTTTCTTCGGTATTCTTATTTTTTCCTTTATTTTTTGGGACATCTTCTTGTGAGTCCTTGGGGGGAGTAGATTCTTCCACTTCTAGTCATGCCCCCAATGCCGGCTATATTCGTGATATCCTCTTTTATTGGTGAAGATTCCTCATATCTCCACGGTACAACTTTATTTGATTCGTAGGGGAAAGGACGTGGCATAAATAGTTGCACTGGTGTCCTTGCCCCCTCTTCCTTATTTTTGAGGACCAACAGTCGAGGCTTAATATCCTCTTGCGATGAATCAACCGTTGGGGCAAACTTGATTAGGAATGACTTTCTCTCCATTCTTCTGATTTAGAAGATGTGTCAGTTAATCCTTCCTTTTTATTATCTTATTTATTAAGAGTGAAGGAGGGGAAATTAAATATGCCAATGAATGATATGCATGCAAGTAGACAATTGTTGAATAAAGAAAAATTTCATTTATCCGTTGGAAGGTGTACATTCCCCTATTCCATACTACAAAGAAACTTTTGGTAGAAATGGAAAAGCCTAAAGAAACCTACAGGCGGGTCTTGATCTCTATGTAATTCCCTTTCGGCTTCCCGGACATGACGAGCAAGTGCTTCGCTTTGCTTCTAGACCGCCTGGCTCATATCTTCACTGTACTTTTGAGCCTCTTTGATCTTCGCCTCTTAATGGACGACCAAGGCTTGTAGTTCATCGAGTTTTGCAAGGGCTCGGTCCTTTTCTTGTATTACTTGGCCGTACTGAGCTAGCCCGTCTCTCTCTTTTCAGCATAGCTCAGTGAGACTTTTGTTGAGTCTCCAATTGGCCTCTCGCTCTTGGCGTATTTCTGACTGAGTCCTGGTGAGGTCTTGCAACAAATCCTTGATCGTCTGAGCCTGTTTTGCTGATTCGGCCTCAAGGCGTGTTGATTTGGCGATTATTTCTTGAAGTTGGCTATCCGAGCTGGTTCTGGCAGCTTTGGATGCTCGGATGGCTTGCTCATTAGAGTCAACACACTGATCCTTGAGGCGCTCTATTTCATGATCCTTTTTCTTGCATTGCCTTTGCAGACCATCAATGGTGAGGATAGATTCTTGTTCTCTTTCCTCAAGGGCCCTCATCTGGGCTCCCATGATTTCTATCCTCTGGGTCAAGGCTGAAAGTGATGAAGATCTTATTAAAATACTTTGGCAAAGATATCATTGATTTGATGAAGTCAAAGAGGAAGTCAAAGGCAACTTTGCAGCGGTCAACAAGTCACTTAGATAAAAGAGTTGAGGGATTAGTGTGTCTGCAGTTATGCTTAGGTATAATCATTTTATCCTTTCTGCTGCATGAGGTTTCTTCACTTAAAAGATTTTGCAAAATGCCTCTAAAATCGTTTAAACAAGTTAAAAACAAAGTATTTTGACAAAAGCTTTCTTAAACAAGTTTTTAACTGATACAGTTTTGAAATAACCGATTAAAATCACTTAGAATGTTCAGAGAAGTATTTTTGCAGTATTTTAATCGATACAACTTGATTTTAATCGATTAAAACCACTTGGAGTTCAGGATGATCGATCAAAATACAATTATGACCGATCAGAATCAGATATGATCGATCAGAACTATTTTAATCGATTAAAACACGTTTTAATCGATTAAAACCACTTAAGGGTTCAGGATGATCGATCAGAATGCAATTATGACCGATCAAAATCAGTTATGATCGATCATAATTTAGTTATGACCGATCAAAACTCTTTTAATCGATTAAATCTCGTTTCAATCGATTAAAACAACTTAGAAAATTTCTACAAAGCGTTTTAATCGATTAAAACTTATTTTTATCAGTTAAAATAACTTGGAAAGTTTTACAAGAAAGTTTTGCAGTATATTAATCGATTGAATCGCGAAACAATCGATTAAATCAAATTAGAAGATTTTTTGTAAAGAGTTTTAATTGATACAAACGTTGTCGTATCAGTTAAAACAAATCTGTTAAATAATCAAGAACGCATTAATGGATTAAAAGAAGTTTTAACAGATTAAAACTGCACTTTTAACAGATTAAAATATTTTTTAACAGATTGATTAAACCAGCAGTTTTGAAAATCTTCTATAAAAACAGTTTGGCTTGAACATTTTAAACACAACAATTGAACATCAATCTTTAGCAAGCAAGCAAACAAACTTTAACATTCTTTCAAGAAAGATTCGCGCCAGTTTTTGTGAAGTTCTTTGAAATTCTTTCTTGAGGCAAATTGCTTTCTTTTGAAGAAGAAACACACTGCAGAATTGCATAAAACTGGTTTGAGCATTCTAGTTTCTTCTTTTCATTTCTTTACATTCTTTTTGTATTGTTTGGTTCCTGGAATTGTGGGCACTGGTTTCTCTGCAGCTGGAATTTGGTTGTAGAGGTTGTCAAGAACTGGAATTTGGTTCTTGGTGAAAGGTTAGGTGCAGGAACTGGAATTGTGGTTCTTGTGGTAGATTAAGTGTAAGATTGTAATCTGTAAAACATTTAATCTAGTGGAACCCAGCTGGAATTTGGCTGGAGACTGGATGTAGCCCTGGTATTGGGTGAACCAGTATAAACACCGGTGATATCTTTCTAAACCTTTTTCCTCTTTTAATTCTGTTGCTGTGTTTATTTTTGATTGCTTGCTTTGTGATTCAAGAACATATCTGAAATCTTATTTTTACAAATAGATAATCTGTTATTTGCGAAAAACTTTCAAAGATCAATTCACCCCCCTCTTGATCTAAAACTACTTTTCTAATAATTGGCATCAGAGCTAGGTGCTTGAAAGTTATTCAAGTTCTTCGATCCATGGCTGGAAACAAATTTTTAGAGGGTGCTTGTATTGATAGACCTCCACTGTTTTGTGGAACAGATTATCCGTTTTGGAAAATTAGGATGAAGATTTTTATTGAATCTGTTAGTATAAATGTGTGGAATATCATTGAACAAGAAACTAATATTTTTAACAAAGATTGGTCTAGCTTAAATGACTATGAAAAGAAATTAATCCAAGATGATTGTATTGCCAAAAATATCATTATATTTGCACTTAACATAAATGATTTTTTCAGGATAGCACACTGTCAAACTGCTGCACAAATGTGGAAAACCCTTGAAATGGCCTATGAAGAAACTACAGAGACATGCTTAATGGTCAATTCAGATTCTCCAATAACCAGTGTAAGTTCTGACTCAACAACTACTTTGAACTATAGTTATTTACAAGATGCCTTTTATGAAATGCATGCTGTAGCAAAAAAATTAGAAACTGAAAACAAAAGATTAAAAAGCATGAATAGGATATTAGAAAACAAGATCACTATTCTTGAAAAGAAAATTGTTGATGAAGAAATAAAAAATGAAAATTCAGATATAGATAATAACTTTGATTGCATGTGTAATGTTAAAGATTGTAAACATTGTCTTGAGTTGCAAGAAAAAGTAACATATTTAATAAAAACTGCATCTAAACTAGCAAAAGGAAAGACTAGTCTTGATATGATACTTGATTCTCAGAAATTAGTTATTGACCGTGGGGGCATAGGTTTTACACCGTCTATTGGAAAGAAAACCAGAGTATTTAAAAATTATTTTGCATATAGTAAATTTGTTTCGTCTCCGTTTGTTAAATGTTTTTATTGCATGAAAAAAGGACATTCTATTAAACATTGTAGAATTAAGAAATATGCTGAAAGAATTAATGGTTGAGTTCAAGAGGGGGGGGGGTGAATTGAACTTTAAAACTTTTTAACAAAACTTACTTTCTTTTGGAAGAATGAGTTATCTTTATTCAATCTTTGCGAAGGTAGTTTGGTT